GAGAAAAATAACGAGAACTAAGCTGATAACATACCTCAAATATAATTTAAAAATGGTTGCTACTGCAATACAAGAGTGAATACTGAACGTTACGATTCAACAAAGATCAAAAATGAATCTCATCAAGTTTTTCGGCATTCTCATATTTTTCTGATATCGTTATCAGAAAAATATGAGAATATCATCGTATTCGTTCGACTGATAGGATAGTTTAACATGAGTTCGAGGAAATCGTTATTCAATGGAGTTCACTGAATTGTATCGGGTTCGGAAGCTGTCCAGGAGATCGTAAGGAAATGAAAAGTGGGCAAATGCATACTTCCAATTTCGCGTGAACATTGCGCAAACAAATTGGTGCAAATGAAATTATGATAACATTTTCCTTCAACATTCAAAATTTAGATAACATTTTTCTTCAAAATTCTAAAATTCTGTTAATTTTCTTTCCTCAACATTCGAAAATTTAGACAACATTTTTTTCTTGAACATTCGAATATTTAGATGTGTTCATTTGTGTATCAAGCAAACATGCAAACGTTCATATATAAATATGTACATACTAAAACAAATATGATATAATGGAATATAATTTGCGCAAGATAAATTTATATGACATAAATAAACATGATAGATACACAAATGCAGTCGCTTTCAGTTCCATTACAAACAACTCAAATATTAGCATTAGTTTGAAACAACCGAGAAGGCTCATTGTATCCACTCGTAGCTGGTATCGCCAAGCCTATTGGTTCCATAACTCAGGCAGTTGTTGAGTCAAGACGTCTTTAACGATACATTTCGTGTTCCTGACTTGCTAGGACATTTCGGATGACTGCGTACATTCCAAGCGATTTTGCTTCTTTAATTAATTTTTTAAAAATCAGGAGAACCTACCTGTAGATTTTGAGCTAAGTGGTGAGTTTGTGAGTGATCACTGAATTGCTTGCGTTGATCTAATGCGATCAGATTTATTGAATAGTGGTGATATATAATTGGATGCTTACTGGAAGAGTTTCTATGTTTAGATTGTGTTCAGTAATGATGAATGTGATTCAGAGTGCAATGGGAGAATCAGAAGCGTGTGTTGGAGTCGAAGCAACCGATGGACGTGCAACAGTTGCAAAGGGAAAAACGTGAGCTGACCATGCAACTGGATCGAGAACAGAACGAAAAGCAGGAACTTTTCTTACAGGTTATCCGGCGTATTCCAGTATATTTGATGCCATTTTCATGACGAATATAATTCGGCCTGAATTTTGTCGTTTCTATGAACGGGCACATAGATCTTTCTGCCGTTTTGTCGAATGATCTTCATATCTGCTCAAAACTAGAAGTGTTTATTCGAGAATCACAAATCTGTGATATTGTGCAGTTTCTCTGAAACCGATTCCTTAGAGTACGGAATTGACTGTCGTCATCAGATTAGTGATGAATTCGTGCTTATCGTCAACTCGTCGTCTTATTATTTGCCACTGAGATGTGGTTTGGCATTCTGAAGTATTATCTGATTCAGATCAACACGCTCATTGCTCAAGTGGCTGAATCAAGCCGAGATGCAGCCGATCAGCAAACCAGTGCCGTTTTGCAAGCTGAAAATGATTCGTTGAAAACGCAGTTGGCCAATATACAGGTAAGATCCTGTGTGCACCATAACCTTTCAGAACAACTCATTCTAATCGTTTCTGTTCTCACTTTGTATTCTCCTCAATAATCGTTTGAAAGAATTTGAACTCCGCTCAATAATTTCAGAAGATTCAAACACAACTGAACAATGATGTTCACAGTTTGCAAGAGGAATTGCGCAGGAAATCTCTTGAGATGGACTCGGCCAAAGAAGATGCCAAACAACGGTTGGCGTTCGTTGAAGAGGAGAAGTCGAAACTTCAAGAGAACGTCGAGACACTGCAACAAGATCTCGAAATGAAAGCAGCCGCTTTGCAAAGTATAAAGCTCGCTAAGCAGGTAACGCGTTTGAATAAGTTTTATCATGTAAAAGCAAATGATTTTGTATACGTGTTCAGTTTTGACATCATGTCTCGTTCTGATCTGCGTTAGTGATCTTTTGATAAAATCTCATCAGTTTTATTGCTTCAGAGCCTGCCTTGATTTACGAATAAGGAAACACAATATCTTATTTGATGGAACCGTTTTCGTCAGATTACTCACTTTGCTGGTGTGAACTGTTGAATTGGTTTGATGGATTGATAGAAGAGTGATAATGATGTTAAGAATGATAAGAATCTTAGTTATGATAATGATTCTTGAAGGAAAAGAAAACAAGCGATGCGGATGCAGCGAAGATAGCAAGACTAGAAAATGAAACCGTT